GGGTTTCACCGTGTTGGCCAGGCTGGTCTCAAACTCCTGTGATCTCGTGATCCACCCACCTCGGCCTCCCAAAGTGCTGGGATTACAGGCGTAAGCCACCACGCCCAGCTGAGAGTCACTTTTTTTTTCTTTGAGACGGAGTCTCCCTCTGTCGCCCAGGCTAGAATGCAGTGGCGTGATCTCAACTCACTGCAAGCTCCACCTCCCAGGTTCATGCCATTCTGCTGCCTCAGTCTACCCAGCAGCTGGGACTACAGGCGCACGCTGCCACGCCTGACTAATTTTTTTGTATTTTTAGTAGAGACAGGGTTTCACCATGTTAACCAGGATGGTCTCGATCTCCTGACCTTGTGATCCACCTGCCTCGGCCTCCCAAAGTGCTGGGATTATAGGCGTGAGCCACCGCACCCAGCCAATTTTTTGTATATTTAGTAGAGGTGGGGTTTCACTGTGTTAGCCAGGATGGTCTTGATCTCCTGACCTCGTGATCCGCCTTCCTCAGGCTCCCAAAATGCTAGGATTACAGGCGTGAGCCACTGTGCCCAGCCAATTTTTTATATATTTAGTAGAGGTGGGGTTTCACCCTGTTAGCCAGGATGGTCTCGATCTCCTGACCTTGTGATCCGCCCACCTCAGCCTCCCAAAGTGCTGGAGGATTACAGGCGTGAGCCACTGTGCCCAGCCAATTTTTTATATATTTAGTAGAGGTGGGGTTTCACCCTGTTAGCCAGGATGGTCTCGATCTCCTGACCTTGTGATCCGCCCACCTCAGCCTCCCAAAGTGCTGGGATTACAGGTATAAGACACCGCGCCTGACCAAGAGTGACAGATATTCTTAAGTATGCCAGAGCATTCCTCCAAAACATTATTTTTCTTCTTTTTCTTTTTCTTTTTTTTTTTTTTGAGACAGACTCTCCTTCTGTCACCCAGGCTGGAGGGCAATGCATAATCTCAGCTTACTGCAGCCTCCACCTCCCGGGTTCAAGCAATTCTCGTGCCTCAGCCTCCCGAGTAGCTAGGATTACAGGTATGCGTCACCATGTCCAGCTAATTTTTGTGTTTTTAGTACAGACAGGATTTCACCATGTTGGCTGGTCTGGTCTCAAACTCCTGACCTCAAGTGATCTGCCCACCTCAGCCTCCCAAAGGGCTGGAATTACAAGCGTGAGCCAGTGTGCCTGGCCCAAAATATTCTTTTTCTTTTTTTGTTTTTTGAGATGGAGTTTCACTTTCGTTGCCCAGGCTGGAGTGCAATAGTGCAGTGGCTCACTGCAACCTCCGCCTCCCTAGTTCAAGTGATTCTCCTGTCTCAGCCTCCCAAGTAGCTG